TATTTAACTTTGTCCTAGATTCAATTCTTGAAACATCCCTATCCTCGTGACAATAGCGGCGTCGATCTACTCCCGGGTGACAGTCTGATCTATTGTATGCAGACGACATTGTGCTACTAAGTGAGGATCCAGGTAAGTTGCAAGCCTTTTCTGTATACTTTGAGTGCTAGTGTAGGTGTGTTCGGTGTGCATTTTGCACCTTCGAAGTGTAAAATGTTAATACAAGACTGGGTCGGTCCAGCACCCAGCCTCACTCTAACTGGGAAAATAATAGAGGAGGTGGATAAGTTTTTGTTATTTGGGCAGCTACATCTCACCCGGTGGACGCATCACGGATAAAGTATCAGCTCGCATGCAGAAGGCTCGAACACCGCTGTCTACGCAGCATTGCACGTGTCTGGTGGGGCAGCCGGACAAGCAATGCTGAGGTGAGGCGCAGAGTTTTGGGTATCCGCGGTCGCCCACTGGAGCAAGTGGTCGACCTCCATAGATTACGTTGGTTGGGACATGTGTTACACATGTCACCAGATAGGTTACCACGGCGAGCGATGTTTGCCGAAGCAGACACCGAGTGGAAAAAAGCCAAGGGTGGTCAAGCTAAGACCTGGCACGAGGGTATGAAAACCCTAACCAGGAGACTGGGTCACATAGGTCCTGTTAGGCTCCCTGGCTGGGGACCTCGGGATGATCATACCCGATGGTTAGAGACACGGAGTGTTATGGTTGGGTGTCGTAAACAGTAGCGTTCGTACATCTTGTCGGTTTCTTTGCAAAATTAACGCAATGAAATCCTAAATTTTCTCTTCGACCCTACTTTCAACCTTTCCTGTCTTTCTCCTCATGTTCATCCAAATCGCGGTACAGTAATCTTTATAAAAGAGAAAAACGTTCCACGATTTGCATATGGGCTGAATACTGCCAGGTTATCCAGACCAAAGCAGGTAAATTTTCTTGAGGAATGCACAACCGAAGCCTTCGATTAACCAAAGCCTGACCCGCAATGTAGCGGGCTGGTGTGTGAAACAGCAATTCATTCGGGGCTGGTGTCCAGTTCATCGAATATTACGCCCTTTGGACGGGGTCAAACTTTCAAGGTGTCTAATCGAGTCGGTGACCGTTGCCACAACTGGAAAGGTATGCGTGTAGTTCGCACGCCTCCTGGTGGTTGGCTTGGGATCAGGGTTTTGACCAACTCCCCTAGGTGAACTACCAGTGGTTCGCCAAACCGGTGACAGCCTCGGATATCGGCTTTTCGTCCTCTCACTTTGGTGGGAAAACACCTCCGCCACGAGAAGGCAGTGAGTAAGACTTACTCAGCAGAGGCTATTCGAGACGCTTGGTTGTATGGGAGCATTTCGCGAGGAGCAAAGGGAAAGGTGACCAGCCGCAACCTTAGACACCCACCCCCGACCATACTGAGGATTTCGGAGGCACATTCCAATCTAAGTTCTGCTCTTTTATCCAAATGGTTGATCGAGAAACAGCAACCAAAATCGCGTGGTTAATGGTTGCATAAACTGAACTAAACTGGCAGACTATCTGATCTGGAGTTTATAGACATTTTACTGTTAAGTGAAGCTCCAGGTAAGTGGCAAGCTTTTCTGAATAGCTTGATTGCTAGCATAGCCATGTTCGGTATGTGTAAAATGTTGCTGCAAGACTGGGTTCATCCAGCACACAGTCTCACTCAAACTGGGGAAGTAATAAACCAAGTGGAC